TCGGGGACAGGAGTGTATCCAAGACGTAGAGGGACGAAGGGGTCCTCGCGGACAGGAGTGTATCCAAGATGTAGAGGGATGAAGGGGTTCTCGGGGACAGGAGTGCATCCAAGACGTAGAGGGATGAAGGGGTCCTCGGGGACAGGAGTGTATCCAAGACATAGTGGGATGAAGGTGTCCTCGGGGACAGGAGGGCATCCAAGACAGTGGGATGAAGGGTCCTCGGGGACAGGAGTGCATCCAAGACAGTGGGATGAAGGGTCCTCGGGGACAGGAGTGTATCCAAGACATCGAAGGGGTCCTCGGGGACAGGAGTGTATCCAAGACAGAGGGACGAAGGGGTCTTCAAGGACAGGAGTGTATCCAAGACATGGGATGAAGGGTCATCTAGGACAAGAGTGTATCCAAGACAGGGACGACGGGGTCCTCGGGGACTGGAACGTATCCAAGGGACATAGAGGGACGACGGGGTCCTCGGGGACAGGAGTGTATCCGAGGGACATACTTCAACATGCAGACTATAGCCAGGATCTCATGGTTGTCCTTGCCTGGACCTGTTTTTGAAAATCAATCCATTTGTGTTCACAGTTTGAAAACTAATCTGGGCCGTGGACGTTATTTTGTTGCCCTCTGTCTACATGGCACCAACCCCTCGGCCTGGTTTGAACCCATCTTGGTCACCTGCCCCCACATGTAAGAGTTCATGTTGGCAGGTCTGAAGTGTAGTTGGTCAGATTAGGACCAGTTTTCAATAACTGATTAGCACCAGTGTGGCTTTTAGACCGGAACATGTTGTCTGTCAGAGGAAAGTGTCAAAATCCAGTTTTGGAGCTCTTTACACGGCCTGGAGACGACTCTCTTATCAGAAAAAAATTAACAGTACCGGTAATTAAAACGCAAGTGATGAGTGCAGTACACGTGAAATTATGAACCTCTGTGAACATTTCAGGACATTTTGGAGCGCTGAGTGCCATTCGCCAGAAATCACAGCCCAGTGAGGAACTGGCTTCAAGTGTGAGACAGAGAGAAACAGCAGTGACTCAGGAGGCTGGAAGTGCTGGAACACACTAAATCCAAAACAACAGGAAAAGACCTGCTTTGGGAGAAATGTATTACAGCAGTTTATTCATATATTATGGTTTATTCTTATAATACATTAGCTTTTCCATATATTACCACTGTTTTTTCACATATTATTGCTGTGGTGAAATTAATTCTGCCAGTAATTCTTTTTGCCAGTTTAGGTTTTATCTTATTCAAGTCCTTAGCTGAGTACATACTGGTGTGTGTGTGTATATATATATATATATATATATATATATATATATACTGCTGTGTGTGTTTTTTTTTTTTTGTCTGATTCTGTATTTTAACCCACGTCAGCAGTATATTTTACCTTTATACTGTTGAGTTTTGCTCTAACCTGTCTTGCGGAAATGGGGACCAAAATCAACGATTTGTAGTTCTGTCAGCACCTGCACTGGATCAGGTGTTTCCAACCAGCATCCATCATCTCACATGAGCTTCAGTCTTTACGTGGACAAAACAATGAGGAACTTTAAATACTCATTAATATATCATTGTTTAGGCCCTGTGTTTGCAGATTACTGTGTAATTTACAGTTGACCGAACATCTGTATGAATTCGTTACTGTTGTTGTTCTGTTGTACGACCTTCAGAGAATTATAAAAAAAACATGTTTGTTTATGAAGGTTTCAGTGTTGACAAATAACTTGAACGTGGCTAGGGTGACCATTTCTGTGAATACATTTTGTTTTCCAGGCAAAGAGACGGTTGGCGCTGGATGATTCGGACCACCAGTACCAGTCCGAAGCAGCTAAAACACCAAGAGGGAGAGGAGCGGGCGCAGCGGCCAACGGGGCGCGGCTGAAGACGCCCAGAAGTAAGAAGTGATTAATGGCAGGACTTCCAACACAAAGATCTGTTTGATTTGGTGAAATACATTTTTACCATCTGGTAAAAAACAACAACAAATCCTGAAAGCAAAACAAAACCTGATGACATTTTTTTTTCCTGGAAGTTAAATTCAATTAATTGTGTTTATAAAGCGCCAAGTCCCAACAGAAGTCGTCTCAGGACACCGAACAAAAACGTTCACACACATTAAGAAAGCCAATTAGTAAAAGTTCTCTGTCTATAGGAAACCAGCAGATTGTGTTGAATCTTCACTTTGTCGCAGTCTCCCTTCCTGAGCAAGCACAATGGCAACGGTGGAAAGGAAAAACTTCCTTTTAACAGGAAGAAACCTCGAGCAGAACCAGGCTCAGGACGAGAGGCCACTGCTTCGATTGGCTGGGTTTGAGAGCAACAGGAAGGAGAAACAGATTAACATGGAATGACCGGTCCAGGTGGACTTTCTGTTGGAGGAAAGACAAAACACATTAAGGATAGAAATAATTACAAATACAAACAAGTAGAGCAAGTAAAGACAGCAGCAGAGTGAGGAAATGTGGCCAATTTCTCCTCCAGCAGTCTAAGCTAATAACAGCATAACTAAGGGATAGCTTAGGAAACCCCAGCGACAATAACTATAGGATTTATCAAAAAGGAAAGACCTAAGCCTAATTTTAAAAGTAGACGATGTGTCAGCCTCACGGACAGAAACAGGAAGTTGGTTCCACATGAGAGGAGCCTGATAACTGAAAGAGCTGCATCCCATTCTACTTTAGCAAACTCTAGGAACCACAAGTAAACCTGCAGTCTGAGAGCAAGTGCTCTGTTAGGAAAGTATGGAACAATAAGATCTGTAATATAAGATGGAGCTAGGCTGTTGAGAGCTTTGTAGGTTAGAAGTAAGATTTTTAATTCTATTCTGGACTTGACAGGGAGCCAGTGGAGAGAAGCTAAAACTGGAGAGATATGATCTCTCCCACTAACTCCAGTTAAGACTCTGGCAGCAACATTTTGGATCAACTGAAGACTTTTTAAAGAAGTATTTGGACACCTAGATAATAAATCATTGCAACAGTCCAGTCTAGACGTGACAAAAGCATTTTCTGCATCATTTTTAGACAAAATATTTCTAATCTTCGTGATAGACCCTAAAGACCTTTAAAGGTTAGACACTGTTCTTTAACAGTCATATTTTAATGTAAAAACATTTCAGAGTACAGAGAAAAATCTCAGGTTTGTCTGGACTGAGTACATTTGTGGTTAACGCTCTACGTGTGTTTTGTGCAGGACGTTAAAGTTGAGATTACTAGAAATGTAAATAAAATGCTTCTAGTTTTAGAAACTAATGTTTGGAGGCTGCTTTGCATCTGTGTAGGAACAGAAACCAGCTGAATCCTTTTACATACAAATAAAACTAAACTTTTGCAAAGCATTTTAGCTTCCACTCATGGCTCAATGAGTGGCTGAATTCTTTTTAAAATCATAACTACCCAGATAGTTTTCAGAGTTTTTATTCATTAAAGCTTGTTTCTGTTTTGATTAAACAAAAAACGACACGCACTTCTCCAAAAAAACCCAAAACTCTTTATTTCTTGTCTTGAAGCAGCTAAATGTTTTACCTGAAAACACACTTTCACATGACATTTAGTGCATAATGAAGTTGGGCAAACCGAACTGTTGTTTCCGATGATGCTCTTCACCCCAGCTGCTAAGAAAAATCTTGCTTTTTAATTATTTTTATTTTTTACAAATACTGATCATGTCACATGGTTCTATTGGCTACAGTAATTCCTTATCACCAACAAAAACAACACAAGTTAAAACATTTACTTCTTTTATTTTTGTCCACCTTAGCACCAAAGTCTCCACCAGAGAAGACCCGGTATGACACGTCGTTGGGCCTGCTAACAAAGAAGTTTGTGGATCTTCTTGCTCAGTCCTCTGATGGGGTTTTGGACCTGAACCTTGCAGCTGAAACCTTACAGGTCAGCTTTGTCTGTCTGTCTGTTTTTCTTTTTGTCTTTCTTGCTCTGAAGTCGGGTCGTGGGGGCAGCAGCTTGTGCATGGAGGTCCAGACATCTCTTTCCACAGCCACCTCTTCCAGCTCTTCTGGTGTTCCCAAGCCAGCTAAGAGACAAAATCTATCCAGCGTGTTCTGTTGTCCTCAGTCTCCTCCCAATCACACCTGGAACACCTCCCTAGGAAGTGAAATGTTTTTTTTTTTTGTCATTGCATTCACACACAAAGAGTTTTGAACCCATCACACATGTGGAGCAGTGGGAAAATATTGAAGCGCCCAGGGAGTAGTTGGAGATTAGGTGTCATACTCAAGGACACTGCAACGTGTGGGCATGGTGGGGAGTCGAACTTGTGACTTTGTGATGCGAATGACAAATAAAGAAACTCTGACTCTTGACAATATCTGTCCTACCACTGCGCCACAGTTGCCCCTTAGGAGGCGTCATGGGTCATCCTTACCAGATTGTCTTGGCTTGGATTGGCTTGTCTGGATGTGGAGGAGCAGTGGCTCTCGTCCGAGTCTCTCCTGGATAACTGAACTCCTTACCCTGTCTTTAAGGGAGAGTCCAGCTACCCTTCAGAGGAAATTCATTTAGACCTTCTGGATCCACAATCTCATTCTTTTAGTCACTACCCAGAGTTCATGGGCATAGGCGAGGGTAGGAACGTAGACCGATCAGTAAACGGAGAGCTTCGCCTTGTAGCTCAGCTCCCTCTTCACCACAACGAACCGGCACCAAGTCCACAATACTGCAGAAACCACACCGATCCGTCTGCCAATGTCCCGTTCCATTATTCCCTCACTGTGAACAAAACCCCGAGATACTTAAACTCCACCTCACTCCCAACCCAGAGAGGGCAATCCACTCTTTTCTGACTGAGCACCATGGCCTCAGATCTGGAAGTTCTGACCCCCATCCCAGCTGCTTTATACTCACTGTAAACCACTTGAGTGAGAGCTGAAGATCACGGCACAATGATGCCAGCAGGACCACATCATCTGATATAACAGAGATGGAGCCCTGAGGCCAACAAACCTGGCTGATTGAAGATGGCTGCCGTAGCTAGTCGACCTTAGTAAATGCAGAAATGGCTGCAGCTCGATACATTTTGACTTAATATTGAGCTAAACCTTTACCTGAGAGTGATTCCCAATAGTCTTCAAACACTAACAGATCACATGAGCTCATAATACTTTAGTATAAACTCTTGAAATTAACCCTGTCTTAGCAAAAGACATGAGCCACTGGACAGGTTTTAATGAAACTCATAAAGAAATCATTGGAGGTACATTTACAGCTGATTAACTTTTGGGTCAGCTTGATTCAAGATGGCTGCCATAGCTAAAGGGTGGTTCACATTTTTTAAACATTTCACAAGCCTGCAAACCACATTTTGGTTGGAAGAGGGTCAAGGACTAGTGCACGCATTTCAAATTGAAAAAAAAATGTTGCATGTTTTTTGGATACGCCCGGAATAACCAACATGTTCCTCTTCTCTCGCATTGCAAATATTGACACACCGCTGGACAACGCACAACTTTTGTTGTGCACAATTAACAGCATTGAGTCTTCATTTATTCTTTACTTATTTTTTATTAACCTTTATTTAACCAGTCTAATCCCATTGAGATCACAGATCTCTTGCTAGGGAGGCCTGGGCCTGAAGGCAGACTAACATGCATGTTTTTGGTCTGTGGGAGGAAACCAACCAGAGTACCGGGAGAAAACCCACACAAGCACGAGAAGAACATGCAAACTCCACACAGAAAGACCCCGGATCCAACCAGGGATTGAACCCAGGACCTTCTTGCTGTGAGCCAACGGTGCTAACCACTGAGCTGTCATGCTGCCAGTGCAAGAGCTGAGCATTGCTGGTGCCACTTCAAGTCCTCACCATGCTGGAGGTCCTTACAACCAGAGCCACGAGTGACTGTTTACAGTTATGTTATCAAGCATGTGTAAAGTTAACCGTCCCTCAGTCTCAGAAGTGCGTCGCTGGCAGATCCCCCTCCCCACGCTGGTTTGCATCATTTATTTACACTAGGAGTGTGTGTAACTCAAGTACAGGAAGTGGTGTCTAACATTACTGAATGGGAAGCAATGGGCAGCTGTCCTTTTCTTTATTCCCACCCTTCTGTCTGAACGTTTAACCTTTTCATTATTTCTGCTCTGACAGCTGCACACACCACCACTCTGCTTTGAGCACAGCGTTTATACTTTAATTTAGGAGCGTCTCCGACTCTGTCCATTAAATTCTTAATTTTCCTGCATCAGTTTTGATCATGTCGAGAAGAGAATCACACATGTACGCATATTTCAATGGAGGCATGCCCATGGAGATCTCAGCGCCATGTTCGTCAGGATGTATGAAGGAAAGTAGCACAGAAACATGCGTGCGCATGGTTTGATATATCTGAATTTTCATTCAACATTTATTTATACAGGTTAGTCTCATTGAGCCTCGAGGACTCATTTACAAGAGAGACCTGTTTTAAACAAAGAATGATGACAACTGTGGACAACAATGACAACAGTAGACAATCATAAATGAAAGCATATAAATAGAAAAAAATAAATGGGGAAAAAAAAAAGATATAAAAAAACCCCCAGCTAGATTATAAAGCAATGTAGGAAACTAAAAACAGGAACATGCGTTGGTTTTTGCCTTGAACTTAGCAGATGTTTGAAGCCACTTAGAGAGGTCAAGGTCGAGTGCTTCAGATCTTTTTTGCAAGATATTCCAGGAAACGGAGCGGAGTAGGAGAAGACCCTTTTGCCCAGTTCAGTCCACACTGAAGGAACACTGCAGGTAATAATGTCCTGAGAGCGCACGCTGTAGCTGCACTCACGCAGAGACATATAGGAGGAGATGTATGAAGGCAGCAGACCAAGAAGTGATTTAAAGATGAAAATGTACCAGTGAGAGAGTAAGAAATCTAAGGCTCTAAGGAATGCTAGCCTTTACTTTAATATGGAAGAGAAGAAGTTTAAAAACAATATATGTATAGTTATTGTTGTGGTTCGAACAGCAGTGGAGGTAAAACCCCACCAGTTGTAGTAAAATGTTTTATTTGTAAAGTATTCTTTGACAGTAGTGTTATTTAATCTTCACAGAAGCAGACCGTTTTATTTCTGCATGTGCGGTCCAGTCATGGCGTGCACGCCACAGCTCTTTGTCTCTTCTCCTGGTGTGTGAATAAAGCTGCGATTCACACAAAAGACACCAAAGACTGAATTTTGTTAAGCATGAAATGAATTGATATTTGTGTGAAAGATGTCGTTAACGGACTGCTCATTGTGTACCTGGGTTTTCTTAGGTACAGAAAAGGCGGTTGTATGACATCACCAATGTCCTAGAAGGGATTCATCTTATTAAGAAGAAATCGAAGAACAATATTCAGTGGATGTAAGTAATGTTCAATTCCTCCTACTCTTCTGAAAATGATTTGTACGTGTGGACAACCTGCTGGTAGGACCTTGGGGTTCAGCCCAGGAAAGCCTTAAGTGCATTAAGGTGGCCTGGTCCGCGTACGCGAGCTGTACCAAACAGTCTACAGAAAGCCCAACTGAATACAAAAATATGTTTTCCCTGAATACTTTGTGGAAGCATTCATCAGCTCTTACTAAATTGGTTTTCCATTTCCTAAAACTAACAGATTGTCGAAATAATGATTTCCCTGCAGACTTCACCCGTTGTAAGCCTCACACCGCACCTGCGGGTTATTTTAACATACTAAATGAATGAGCATCTCTTGGATTGGTCATCAGCGTTGTAGTTTCAGTTTACAGCTGTTTAAAGATGCTCATCTAGAGGAGCGGTGAAAAGGTTTTCAAGAAACAAGGTAGAAGTTCAGTTTACTGTTCAAGACCGACAGTCACTGCGTCCTTGATGTCTGGGAATCTGCATCAGCTCTGAGGCAAAATAATAAATGGACTGTACTTGTACAGCACCTTTGTATCTTATGAAGATACTCAAAGAACTTTACAACACAATCTGTGTCCTCATTTACCCATTCATACAGCACTCTACTAGACCTCTGCAAAGACTAATCAGTGCTTTAGATCACTTTCATTCATCGATGGGACACACATCGGAGACAATGAGGGGTTCAGTGTCTTGCCCAGGGACACTTCAGCATGTGACTGTTGGTGGAGTCGAACCCCCAACTCTTGCATTGGAAGACGACTGCCCTTCCCGTTCCCATTAAGGACAAAAACTAAAGACAAGCTGAGCAGGGTGGTAGACGCTGCCCTTTAGGAATACATACACATACCAGAGAAACTAAAACACCATCTCAAAGGTTTATGAATCCCTTGACTGTTGCATCAAAATGTGGGTGAGACGTGTGAACCATCCACACCTATCTCCACCTGCCTTTGTCCCTCCCTGGGCCTTAACCCCCTTCCTATTTGCTCCTCCAGGCACTGCCACACATGTGGGCTGTGGTAGCTCAGTAGTTGCGTCAGGAAGGATATCCGGCGTAAAACAAATGCCAAGTCTTCATACGAGTTTGTTCGCTGTAGCGACCCCTCAAGAATGGAGCAGCCGAAAGAAATAAAATTTAAAAAAAGAAACGCCACAGAAGAGGCAGCTCTTCAGGTCTCGCTCACTGAGCTCGATGGCCACACTTGGTTTAGATGACAGAAGAGAAAGTGTTGGTTTATTCCCAGTAAAACAGTCATCGCAAAATTTAACAGTATCACACATTCAAAGTTTTTACTGAAATCCTGTCCAGAACACCAGTGCATTTAGTTTTTACTAAAAGAAGCAGCGCTGCATGTAGCACTAAGGTTGTATGATATTGGACAAATGTGCAATATTACTTCTGTTGTTGTGACATTGTTTGTTCATTCACTAACAAAATTTGTTGTGTTAAACCAACACTTTCTGTCATCTACGACGGAGCTTTAGGGCCACGCTAAGAAAAAAAAATTAAAGCCATAAAATTATGGGAATAAATTTCTAGTATTATGAGAATAAACTTGTATGAGTCTTTTTGCAGCTCTAGTGTTTTTTTTTTCTTCCCACGAGTCAGATCCACCACGCGACCTGTCAATCAATCAAGTAGGCGTGTCAGGAAATGACCAATCTGAAGCTAAATGAGTCGCAATATTATCCGAACTCCGACTCGATGAAGCAGGTTTAACTGTGGTAAAATAAAGAATGCTGAGCATCTTGTTATACTATTGGTTTCATAAATAAGGAGATAGTTAATCTGTTGGCACATCAGCATCAGATTATTATCAGTATCAGGACTTTGAACCTGCTTACTGTAAGGTGGTACTCTCTGATGGGCCGCAGCAGCTCTCTGCAGGTAAGGAGCATTTAGCTTTGGATTGGTCATTTGCTGATACGCCTACTGGATTGATTGATAGGCCGCGTTGTGGATCTGACTCGTGGGAAGAAAATAAATGAAATCTGTTTTAAAAAAAAAAAGTCTTGTATGACTTTATTCTCATAATACTACAACTTTATTCTTGTAATTTTATGTCTTAATTTTTTTTCTTAGTGTGGCCCTAAAGCTCCGTCATAGTCATCTAATCAAAGACTAGTGAAAGTCTTTTATTAGCATGAACAACAGAACATGGTGTATAAACTATAATGGTCTTTGATTTATTGCAGTCCAAGCAGCTCTTTGAGATGTTGGTGCTGTGATGACGATGGTGCAGTCCTACAAAGAGCTCATTTTGAGTTAAGCAGCTGCTTGGTGGTTTGTCCAGCTGCCGGCTTGGAAGATCCATCCATTCATCCACTATCTTTTACCCGCTTCTTCAATTTTTGGGTCATGGGGGTCACTGGTGCCCATGTCCAGCCTTCACTTTGCGAGAGGCGGGGGACACCCTGGACAGGTCTCCAGTCCATCACAGGGACACATGGAGACAAACAACCATTCACTCTCTCAGTCACACCTAGGGAAAATTTAGAGTTACCAATCAGTCTAACATGCATGTTTTTGTTCTGTGGGAGGAAACTGGAGTACCTGGAGAAAACCCACACATCCACGGAGAGAACATGCAAGCTCCACCCAGAAAGGCCCCTGGCTGGGATTTGATCCGGGGTGACCTGCTCGCTGAGAGGCTCTGCCAACTGCTCTACCATGCTGCATGTCTTGGAAGATGCTGAAGAAAATCTTCCCAAAGTTTGAAGCAAAGCGAGAGCTGACCTGAGTCTGAACCCCTTAAAGCTGCAGAACCTTTTTGTGTCTTGTGATTTGCACAACGTGCTGTGCCCATGTTGTGCACATGTGCACAGGCAGCACACGTCACGCTGGCCTGAGCTCAGCGCAGCTCCTCTCTGCTGTGGAGTGCACGACGGGGTTTGGACAAACACCACAGGTGATTCGAGGAGAAATGAAGGAAGTCACCTCAGATAAAATGGATTGAAGCAGGCACTCTCAGGTCTCACCTGTCCAACACCTACAGTCTCTCCAGGTGGTTTCATGATCAGTCACACCTCGAACAATAGACGGGTAAAAACACGGAGGTGACGCGCAGGCTGAACAGTCCAGGCTGAGCAGTCACACGTGACGTTAGCATGTCTGTAGCAGCTTAAAAATCTTAAAACTTTCATCCGTCAGTCATTAAAACCTGAAGAATCTAGAGGTGAAGCGTGTTCGTTCAGGATCAACATCAGCACGTAAAATAACCTTAGGCGGTCTCTAATTTACGAAGTCATCCCGTCAAACATTTAGGAGTAAAATATGACAAACGGCATGTTTCTGGGTTCTCCATGTTTGCCTCCGTCTTGTTTCTTTTAGTCATATTTCACAGGATGTAGTAATATTATCCAAACGGGCCACTTGTGTTCACATTTGTTTAGCAGAAACTCAGGTGTTACAACCGACAATGCATGTGGGCGTTTCCACCTTTTGCACACCTCAAGCAGCTACGAGTCAATGATATGATTAAACAGAGTTTATTTACAGTGTGGAAAAAGATTAATATGACCTTGGAGTCTTGCCAAACTTCAGGGTGAGCTTCAGACCAAAATAATAAACAAACTGTTTCCTCCCATTTCTTCACTTACCTAACGAGACAAAATTAACCAAAATACAGGTCTCTTACCTGAACTAAACTAACAAAACAGGAGAAAAGCGTCCTAACAAAAATGGCAGCTCACCCCTACAAAAACGTACAAAAACTAAACTACCATTTTTCCCACTGTACACGTCGCTCCACCCTATAAGTCGCATCAGTCCAAATATGTCTAATAAAGTGGAAAAATCCATAAATACGTCGCTTCGCTGTATATGTCGCATCTCGTGTGTCACCGCTGACGCGTTGTTAAGCGTCACCTCTGTCAACCCGGTATTGTTCCAAAAATCGATTGGCTACCAAATGACGGCCACGGGAGCGTGCACGGGAGGACTTTAACAAGATTAACACTTAAAAACATTTATTTGTTCGCTCAAAGTTATAGTAAAGGTGTGTCTCAGTTGAACTTTTGCTTAATAAATGCACTTTGACGATCTAATCAGCTGCATTTCAAAACCTGATTTGCTAAAGCGGGCACGAGTAGAGGGATGAGTCACTGCTCATTTCTTCGAAATTTAACAAGATAAACACCTAAAAACAATTGTTTCCTCACTTTATAGTAAAGTTGTGTCTCAGATGAACTTTTACTTAATAAAAGGACTTGTAACAGTCAAATCAGCTGTATTTCAAACGTATTCGCTGCCTCGATGCTCTGGGAGCGCGCAGACACGGAGGGAAAAAAGGAAAGAGGAACGCTGCACATTTTTTCGAAACTCAACAAGAAAAGCACATAAAACAATTATTTGTTTGCTCGAAATTCTAGTAAAGGTGTGTCTCAGTTGAACTGTTACTTAATAAATGCACTTTAATGGTCAAATTAGCTGCATTTCGCCGGGGCGGTGCAGTGAAATGAAGCAGATTTGACGGTTGCTCCAAGCAGCAAGCAGAACAAAGGTGGAAGACTACGGCAAGCCGATTGTGTCATTAATAACTGGTGAAGATTCAATCATCCATAATATGGTAAATTCAAAAAAGTTCGACAAAAACAATAAAGTAAAATATAATGAAGTCCAGTTGTTTTTGTCTTGAACTTTTTTGAATTTGTCATTATAGTCACGTTTACCTATTACACGATACAACGGCATGCCTTACTACTCTGGTGCCATCTAGTGGCTGAAAAATGGTAGCGTTCAATATTTTCAGTCAGAATGAATGAAAACAGTCATATCTCAGCCAAAAATTGGTTTATAAATATGGGAAAAAAATCCATAAATATGTTGCTTCGGCCTATAAGTTGCAGGGCATGTAAAATAGCAAAAAGAAGTGCGACTTATAATAACGAAAAATACAGTACACACAACTTGCGGTGGCAGTTGTAGCAATCAGTAAAGAGTGGTAAAGCCCAGTTCTTGTCTGTTTGTAATAATAAACTGTTTTTGAACGTTCTGGATAGTTTCTGTTAAAATAAAAGTTGTACGTAACTCATGCTTTATGTGAGGTAGAAGAATAATGTTGATATTGTTGGCTGTTGAATTTTAAATGGCCTCTATGTTTTGTAGATTATTTATGAAATATATTATTTGTGAATAGTAAGGTGAGATTCCAGTCTTTAACTGTAAAGGTTGCGTCTTTATAAGAATCGGTTGCAGTTGCTCACGTTCAGAAGTATTTGTTGCACAGCTGAGGATTGGGGTTCAAGCTGAAACGATCGGAAAGGCTGTTCTTTTAGTAAATCAGCCCTTCCTTTCTCACTCCTAGGGGCTGCAGTCTGTTGGAGGTGGAGGGAGCACTGAGCCAAAGACAAATTCTCTCAGCCGAAGTTTCGGCTCTGGGTGAAGAAGAGCAGAAGTTGGAGCAGCTCATTGAGAGATGCAGCATCGATATGAGACACATGAGCGAGCTGCAGAGCAACCAGAGATATCCTTTAGTTTTTATTTCATCATCTGTGAAGCTGAAACTAGTTTATAGATAACTTTCCTTCAGGTGATAAATTCAGCCGTTACCTGATGGTTTTATTGTTAATATAATCAATCAGGTAACTTCAGCTGTTACCTGATGGTATCAATCAGGCAACTTCAGCTGTTACCTGATGGTATCAATCAGGCAACTTCAGCTGTTACCTGATCGGGTAACTTCAGCTGTTACCTGATGGTGTCAATCAGGTAACTTCAGCTGTTACCTGATGGTG